TTGGATGTCCGGAGTGGCATCGGGGCCACCCATGACTTAGCCCAAAGGGGAGTTGGTCGGAGTGGCCGGGAGAGTGTCATGGCAATGGATTGGTTTTGTCAAAATGCTATTGTTCATGAGCACGAGGCCATGAGTTCTGTGATGTGGGTATAGTGTGGTAACCTCTACAGAGTGTGTGTTTAATCTATCGATAGTTGCGTCCTCAATTATGACAGAATTTCGTAGTAGGTCACACCGTGGATCAACGGAAATATTAAAATTGCACACTAAATGTATACTTGTAGCTCTTGCTATGTTGTGAAGTTGTTGAGACCATCAAGATTGTTTCGTTTGTGATCCGGAGGTGATCACCTTGGCATGATGATGTTTGTGGTTACAAGGTAACCGAGATGGTAAGCGGGTCTGGAAGGCCCTGTTATGAGAACTATCACTCCATGAGTAGCATGCTAGTTCTTGCATTTAACCTGCTTAAATATCATGTTGTTGTTTGTCATTGTTGCTTTATTTGTGTGAGCTTGCGAGTACATTCAAAGTACTCACCTGGCATGTCATGCCAGTTTAAAAGGAGAAGTCATACCGGAGTTGGAGTTGCATCATTGCATCGTAGTCTAGACCCTGTCCACACCAGTGTCCCTGTGAGATGGAGTCCTTCTATGTTGTCTTTCCGCTGCCGTGTAGCTTTGTAGTGAGGACGAGGGCCTCGAGGCCCCCCTGCTCATGTCTACTAAATAATGTACATATGTTCAGCAGCACCGTGTGTGCAGCTTGGCCTCGCTACTTGATGCAATATCGACTATATGCTTCAATAAAGCAGTTGTATTTCTGTATCAAGTTGTTGTGTGTTGCCAGAAGACTTGATCTCTGGGCTGGCAATGCAAGGTAAACTGGTCGCTCTGAGCCGGGGTGCCACACACACGCCATCTGGACGCACCGTAACCCTAAGGCGTGTGGGTCCCACATGCCCCCTAGCTCCCATCTTCTGGCTATAAGACCATATGTCCTAAATCTGACAAGGGAACTTTGGTAGATTTTAATTTTCTTGACTCGCATGTCCACCGCCATCGTCGACCTTCATTTCTTAGCCTTTCTGAAGTCTAATTTCTTCTCCGAGATGGGAGTGTCATCACCATTGACACCATCACACTCTTCTCCATCACCTACATCATATTTCCCCCATCCATGTGCAATCTGTTGTAGGCATAGGAGATGGATGATAATTGAATTATGCCAATCATGTAGTAGTGTCTAGATGTTCAGGGTTTTTATCCCTGGTATGATGATTGTTCATGATCTAATGTTCCCATGACTTTGCTATGCTTAATCCTTATTACTAGCTAGGTAGGGACCGAGTAATACAATATCAGATATGAATCATATATGTTTTCATTTTGTAAGTGCATATAGTTCCCCCTAGTGGGTTTTGGATGATTATTGACAAAACAATTATGGAACTAATGTGTGAGTATACACACGTAAAAGTCCTTGAGGATTTGGTTTAACATGAGAGTTATGACCCCTAAAAATTGTGGTAACAATGAATATCTTTGGAATACCAGTTTGAGGAACAATTAGCTCGCTGCGAGGAATCTGAAGCGTAGTGAAGAGTTTGGTTTTCTAGTTTCTTCTACTTTTAAGTCGTGAGGCAAACTGTACTATTAGAGGGGATCTAAGTGAAAGTTAAGATTTAGTTGTTTTGTGTGGTCAATCCAAACCTATTTCTCTGAGTGAAGATCTCTTTGATGCACTTTTGCTTCTCTTAGGCGTCTGTGATGATGTTCTTTGAGAAATCGTAAGTGAAAGTCCTCGTAGAAAAGTCAGATGACTTGTTCTGCAAGACAATCTGTCGTTTGCATTTGAAATCCGATCATTTCGCCACGAGTTGCATGTATGTTGCCTGGCCAGTGCCTCCGACGGTCATATCATCCCTCAGGATTGCTCCCGGCTATAAATAGCCATCAGACTTCAACCTTCGATGGTTGGTTGTTCCATGAGAGAATTGGCAAGAGTTTTTCTGAGCAATTCATCATCTTGAAGGGATTGTGAGAATCCTAACAAAGGAAAAAAAACAGAGCCTAAAAACTCTTAAGTGATTGAGCATCACTGATTAACTAGTCAAAGCTTAACATAACCTATTACTCTTGTGGACTATGCATCCACTAGACTGTTAGGTGTCTGTTCAGAGCATCAAAGAGTAATTGTGGACTATCAAAGAACGTGTGCGTAAAGGTCCCGGAGATGACCATGAAGATCTACCACAAGTGATTGGAAGAAGTTTGATAGATACTACCTCAAGGAGAATAGGGGGGAAACTTTGTTTTTTGAGTTGTGGCAGTAATTGTGGACTATCTAGAACAGGTGATAGCTGAATAGAGCGAAGACGACACCAGAGCTCAATGTATTCAACTGTGGAAGTAGGACCGAGCACGCCATGAATGTCATGTATCCGCGAGAAATCAACCAGCCCGTTAGCAATGGAGCGAGCCTTGCAGTGACAGCGCGGAACAAGGGCAAACACACATGGCATGATTGAGTGCCCATCGAGCCACCGATCTATCCAGAAGAGGCAAGTATGCACATCACCAAGTATGGTGTATATGCCCATGTAGCCTCGCAGTGTTATGGTTGGTCTAGCTATTAGAGTATCTCCAGCCGCACCCTCAACAGCCCCCCCCCCCCGGCGTTTTTTTAGCGCAAGCGTCCAAAAATTGGCCTAGTCGCGCCCCCAGAAACCTGGTTTTTGTCGGTTTGGGCCGAAATTGGCGTCGGCGGACCCTGGCCGAACCCAGCATGCTGGGGGGCACCCAGGGGCGCCGGGGCAATCGATTTTGGCGCGAAAGAATGGCCGGCCCGCTGAGTCAGCGACCCACGCGCCTCGTCGTCCTCATCGCCTCGGTTTCCTGCGGGGAATCAATGCCAAGGCTGCCCGCCGGTCAGCCTTCCATTGATTCCTCACGGGTGGCACGGGCGGCGCGGGCACGGCGATGCACCACCTCCCGCCACGCGTACACGGCGCCCACCCCCTGGCCGCTATATAAGCAGCGCCTCCCTCTCGCCTGAGGCCGCACCCCGCCCACAGCCGCCGAGCTCCCTCCACGCTGCCGAGTTGTCTTCCCGTCCACCGACGTCGCCGACGTTCCTCCCCTCTATTCCCTTTTCCTAGCGGCGACGATGGGCGAGAGATTCCCCGACGATGGGGTGGCGGCGAATGGCTTCGGTGTGAGGCCTACCTGCTGTTCGAGGCCAATGCCTCGGCGCCTCCGGACATGCGCGCGCCGGGGCGGTGGAAGCTCAGCGCCGGTGGCGTCCCCATTCCCCCGCTGCCAGACGTCACCGTGCCAGCCAACTACTTGGCCGACGAAGTCGCCCGCATGTGGGCGTCGCTGACAGAGGAGCAGCGGGCCCTCCTACAGTACGCTGCCGGCAACCACGAGGCTTGGGCGGCGTACTTCCAGCACCAGCAGGCGCAGCGGCCGGCCTCCACCAACGGGGCGCCGGCTGTGCGGGGGACCAAGAACAGCGAGGGCCGCCGCCTCTGGTGGCGCGCCTCCGGCCACACTCTTCACACCGTCTTCGAGCACCTCGAGGGCGGTAACGATCCGCCAATGACGTACCCTGCCGCCCCGGTCCCCCGTCGGAGCGGCGGTCAATGGATATCGTGCCGGGCCGGCTCCTCTTCTTCCTCCTCCCGCTCCTCCGGCTCGTTGGCATTGTTCGGCGTCAATGCCGAGCCCGTAGAGATCGCTGAGATGCCGCTCGGCCGGCGCACCCGCAGCGCCGGCATCGTCATCAACGAGGGCGGGCGCGCCTCCTCCTCGGCTCCTCCCCGCTTCGTCAAGCCGAAGATGGAGCCGGGGCTCGCCATCATGAAGACAGAGCCAGGGCTCGATGACGCGGCGGCCTTGAAGTGGGCGCGAGAAGACTGGGCGCGGACGGAGCTGGAGCGCCAGCGCCGCGCCTTTCAGCAGTTCGCCGCTCGGCGTCGTGGCCGCGACGAGGGAGGCGTCGTCGTCCTCGACGACGACAGTGACGACGAAGCGCGCCGCCGCCGCCGCCGGTCCGCCAGGGCGACCACGGGCATGGGTCTAGCAGTGGCGTCCGCGTGAAGGAGGAGAAGGATGACGACGACGGCGACCTCGCCTCTCTTAGCGTGTTATTCGAAATGTAGTCGCGGACTGTTTTTTTATTATTATCTATGTAAAAAATATTTCAGTTAGCCGAGATAATGTACCGTTTCGCCGAATATTTGTCCCGTTCGCCAAATTTTAGACAAATAAATGTTCAAAAAATTTAAAACCAGGCGTCGGCTGAAAACCCGATTGCCCACAGGCCGATTTTAGCGCCGGTTCGCCCTAGGCGGCGATTTTTCGAGTCGCCTGGAGGGCCAAGGGCGGGAGATGCTCTTAGGCCCAACCATAACACCGCAAGGCTATGGTGGGCCTACCGCATACCTGCCGAACATCTTCGGGCAGCACGGTATACAAGTTGTCGCAGAATGTGATGTCAGATCATATATTGCACTATACTCACGCAAATCAATCACTGGCATGACCTTGTTTTTCCCCAACCTGGCATTCCCTTTTCATTAATTGCTCAATGAAAATAATCACTGGCACGACATGTCCACCGCGATCATGTGCGCACACCCCTATTCCCTAGAAATCAAATGAACAGGCCAGGAAAAAGTCTGCAGTCAACTGATCCCCCCGGGCTGGGCGTATGCAAGTCAACTCATGACCCATGTGATCTGCCTCAACTGGGTTAGCTTCCTACATATGAACTCGTTAAGTACGCAAGCTTCCCAAATGAGCTCATTAGTCATTACCATGTGGTGTTAGAATAACTAATCTCCCGCCCAGCTGCAGACGACTTACGTGCTACTATATGCTCAATGGTGTCTATCCCAATGAACTTCCCGACTTGCTAAGTTCTAGCTAGCGTAACTAGCTGCTGGCACATGTGCCATTGATCAGCTGGGACGACCATCACTGAGAGCAAGAACAATGGTAGCCCGGTGGCTGCTACCGCTAGTGCTTCTTCTCGGCCTCGCCGGCGTTCTTCAGGTCCATGGCCAGGTCGACAAGTTAGCCAGTAAGTTCGTTATTCTCTCGCTTTTATTGAGTTCTACCCATTTTCACTTCCTAGACAGAACACTCATCAGTCATCACCAGGCCACTAGATATATATGCACGAATTAATCCAACTCCATAACGCTTATTGCGTGCTCGTGCTCACATGCATATATGTAGGTTTCATAACGATAGACTGTGGCCTGCCGGAGAATTCCCCTGGCTACATGGACAACGTCACCAAGCTCCGGGCAACCGGGGACGCCGGCTTCACCAACGCCGGGACCAACCACAACATCTCCACCGAGTACATCACCCCGACGATGGGCTGGACTTGGCACACCGTGCGCAGCTTCCCCATCGGCGTGCGCAACTGCTACACGATCCGCCCAGTAGGATCGGCCGGGCCCAACTACCTCATACGCGCCTTCTTCATGTACGGCAACTACGACGGTCTCGATAGGCTGCCCATCTTCGACATTTACCTCGGCGTCAACTACTGGAAGACCGTTAATATCACTGGCGCTGACATACCATTGATCGTGGAGGTCATCGCCTACGTCTATGGCGGCATTGTGCAGGTATGCCTCGTGAACACCGGCTCCGGGACGCCGTTCATCACCAGCCTGGGTCTGAGGCCCCTAAAGACGACGCTCTACCCGCAAGTCAACGCGACGCAGGGGCTTGTTCTTATCACCAGGTCCAGCTTTGGCACTAATAAGACCGTGAGGTAAGGAAATACATGAGCAGACTAGGATTTTCCGAAGTCCAACATTCAATCAATCATGCATGCATCTTACTCCCTCCGTTCCTAAACATAGGTTTTTTTTAGTGCTTTCAAATAAACTACAACATACGGATGTATATAGACATATTTTAGAGTGTACTTTCATTCATTTTGCTTTGTATGTAGTCCCTTGTTGAAATCTCTAAAAAAGTTATATTTAGGAACGGAGGCGGTAATTAATACGAGTAGCACGTAGGGTAACCTAGCTACGAAGCACATGCAGGTACCCGGACGATGCCTACGACCGGGTATGGCTCCCGTGGACCAAGCCGCATTCGGACGAGTGGTTGGAGATCTCAACGGCCGAGAACGTGGAAGACAACCTCGAAAGCTTCGAGGTGCCCTCCGCCGTGATGCGCACCGCCATCACGTCCGCCAACGCCTCCTCCCCCGTCCGCTTCTCGTGGGACGCGGTGCGGAATGCCAACTACCACGTCCCCGGGTACTCCTGGATGCTCTACTTCGCGGAGCTGCAGAGGACGCCGTGCGCGGGTTCTACATCACCACCAACGGCGAGCTCTCGTACCCGCACGTCATGACGCCGGCGTACCTGGCAATGGACGCCATCTTCCAGCGCAAACCTGTCCATGGCTTCGACCGGTACGACATCTCGCTGAACGCCACCGCGAACTCGACGCTCCCGCCGATCATCAACGCCGTCGAGGTCTTCTCGGTCCTCCCTACCACCGGCGTAGCCACGGCCGCTCAGGATGGTAACCGGCTATTACTTTCAGATACATACATTACATATGGGATCATGAAGCTAGCTAGCCAGCAAATGAATTTCAGCAGCTGATTTAGGTCGCTTATAATAACTTAATTTGTGTGTTGCTACTGAGAAATGCAACAGTTTCTGCCGTCACGGCGGTCAGAGACAAGTACCGGGTGAAAAAGAACTGGATGGGGGATCCCTGCGCGCCGAGGAAATTCGCGTGGGATGGATTGAGTTGCAACTACGCTGTTTCGGGACCACCAACTGTCAAAGGCTTGTGAGTTAATTATCTTGGACGAAGAAATGGTCCAGCAAATTCTAGAATTATTATCTGAACTGTTGTATACATACACTGCAGGAATCTGTCTTCAATGGGTCTGAGTGGCAGTATCTCTTCTTCTTTTGGGAATCTCAAAGGTTTACAATACTTGTAAGGAAATTACCAAACCATTCCATACTGGAGTAGATGTTTTTTTGTAGGGTGACTAAGTTATTTATCCTAGAACTTAAATACATTTGGCAGGGATTTGTCTCGCAACAACCTCACCGGCTCCATTCCTGACACCCTTTCACAATTGACATCGCTTACACTTATGTTAGTAACTAATCTCTTATATTTTTAGTTTTTTACCACTACTTATTTCCTTTGTGTATAAACTGATGTTGCAGCCAAACTTCTGCAACTTTGACTTTTTAACATATGAGAAGGCATTCAAATTGATTGGGTGACAACAATTTATATGATTGAATTTGTAACAAAATATACTTTCAGGATACTACTGTAAGTTTTTTGCTTTTACTAACATCTTCATTTGAGGATTATCAGACATAATACATATCGGAGACTCGTGATCTTTTATGTTTGTCCTGAATTAATGTTATATGATTATAGCATTTTTCAGATTCATCTCCCAATACATATTCATCATTTGTTTTGACGTGCAACACTATTTTGTTTCATTTTCTCGCTTATTATTTGACAGGGAAATACTATATCTATTGATAGTACGTATTAGGACACTATCTTGACTTCTTTTCCCTTCCTCAAGTGATTTGACAGGAAACCGGCTTACAGGAGAAATTCCTTCCATGCTTCTGAAAAGAAGCCAAGATGGCTTCCTAACTCTGAGGTTAGTGCCCCACTAGCATCTGATTTCTGCAATTATTTTCGACATGGTTTTCACTTTCTTAGCTGGAGGTAGGCATGCTGTTCCGAATATGGATGTAGCTTCTCATTGTTTGTTTTGCTAGATACAATAACAATCCGGACCTCTGCAGCAATGGCAATTCTTGTGTGCCTCCAAAGAAGAAGAGCAATTCAATGGTTCCTGTCTATGTTGCTATTCCAATAGTTGCAGTGCTCGTGATTGTGTTGCTTTTAGTGCTGCTCATTTGCATGCGAAGGAGAAGGCAAGGTGAGAGACTTGACTGAAACATACTCCCTCCGTTCCCAAATATTTGTCTTTCTAGAGATTTCAACAAGTGACTACATACGAATCAAAATGAGTGAATCTACACTCTAAAATATGTCTATATACATCCCTATGTTGTAGCCCATTTAAAATGTCTAGAAAGACAAATATTTGGGAACGGAGGGAGTAGAAGTTTATATCTCTGAATGTAAGTATGAAATGATTAAGGGGCCTTAGTTTGCGTGATTGGTTTCTTAAGGAACAGCAAGCAACAGCATCAAGCCGCAGAATGAGACGCGCTTTACCCCGTCGCACTCTTGGAATAGAAACAAAGACAGCTCACTGCAACTGAACAATCAGCGGTTCACGTACGAGGAAATAAAGGTCATAACGAACAACTTCCTGCGAGTGATCGGCCAAGGAGGGTTTGGTAAAGTCTATGATGGATTCTTGGAGAATGGCACCCAGGTGGCTGTCAAGCTTCGGTCTGAATCATCAGCTCAAGGTGTACAAGAGTTCCTGGTCGAGGTAAGATTTGCTCAAGTATATATATGTCGTAGGAAATCATGCAAGTTTTCTTCTCCATTTGGTATGCATTGATCTTTGTTGGTTCAGGCTCAGACATTGGCTAAGATTCATCACAAAAATCTTGTAACCATGATTGGCTACTGCAACGATAGAGAGCACCTAGCCCTCGTGTACGAGTACATGTCCGAAGGAGCCCTACATGAACATCTGAGAGGTATGTAAATTGCCCGAGTGTGCACACTTGAAGAACATTGGTATCAATTAAGAATATCAAAAGACCCAAGGACCCAAAGAATTGTAGGAATATCTGCCAAATATATTAGTCATCCGACGATCTTTCTGCAGGCAGACACCACGACACAACATTAACCTGGGCACAGAGACTTTGTATTGCACAGGAATCCGCACAAGGTAAGCTGTTAAATTCAGATTATTCTTCATGACATTTCACTTGGAAGCTAGAAAGCTCTGTGGTGTTGGATGTGTCCATCCTAGTTATGCAGAAGCCGAGTATATGCTCATTGTGTTTTGTATCACCTTGATGCTTCACTAAACGCCCTTTTTCAAAAAAAAAATTTGTTGGATGATTATTTCATGTCGGTGCACACAGGGCTTGAGTATCTACACAAGGGCTGCAATCCACCCCTCATCCATAGGGATGTGAAAACATCAAACATCTTGCTAAATGCGAACCTTGAGGCCAAGATTGCCGATTTCGGCCTACTCAAGGCATTCAATTGCGATGATGATACCCATGTGTCCACAGCCAGGTTGGTTGGCACGCATGGTTACATTGCCCTGAGTAAGTGCGCCATTCTAAATTCTTGCTTATAATGCTATAATAGCCTCTTGCCACTTATTAATTGCAGAAGTAGTATACTTTATATAGTTGTCCAAAGGTAGAATAATTCATATATTACATGATGTACCTTTTCTTCTAGGATTGATGATCATGACCTAATCCCTTCGATTAGGAAGTTATCCTACAAGCTATTCATTTATAGGAGATGTGCCAAACTTTTCTTGTGAAGTTAAACTACAATGCTTTTCACACTTTTGTAGGTACCTTACCTAACAACATTGCAGCTGACTAATAAGACGGATGTGTATAGTTTTGGAGTAGTGTTGTTGGAAATAGTCACGGGCCAACCTCACATCTTGAATAATCCAGAACCTTCAAGCCTTACCAAGTGGGTCCAGGAACGGCTTTCCCAGGGAAACATAGAGGGTGTGGTGGATGCGCGCATGCATGGAGAGCACGACATCAACAGCGTGTGGAAAGCAGCGGGCATTGCTCTCAAGTGTACTGAGCAAACACCAGCGCAACGGCCCACAATGACCGAGGTGGTGGTACAGCTGCAAGAGTGCCTCGAGCTTGAGACTGCGCGCTGCAGCGGTGGCAGCACAAATCCTAAGTTTTACATGGCCAGCAGCAGCGACCCATTCTCAAGTTATAATCCATACGCCACCAACCAGTCTGCTAGTGTGAGCCATAGCAATGATGTATTTGAGGTGGAGCGTTTAGGCAGGGCTCCAACTATGACTACTGGTCCTGTCGCCAGGTGAGGAGAGGACAAGTACAATGAGTTCTTTCCTTCTCTCTATTGCAGGGTTTTGTTTTACTTGGAGAACAACAAAAATTGATGATGCATCATCCAGGAGAAAGAGCAAATATGTATTGTTACGTGTATCCTTCTACAATGTATCTTGTCTTAAAACGAAGAGTGAATTCCACTTTTTACCCTGTAGTTGTACATTTTGTGGCACATATTACCCCATTTAGTGAATCTTCTATCGAAATATCAGATTTTGGTGACTTTTAATATGGTTTTACGCCAGTTTTGCATTTTGCTTGTTTATGTTATATAGCATAGGCATGTTGCGTCAATGATTCGTAAAAAGATGTGTAAAGATCGTAATGTCCAGACTTTTCTTTTCCATCTGTTTCATTCCTCGACGTCATCCAGATATTTTTGAACCCCGGGCATCACCTCACATCTCACACCTTGGCTAATGGACACGCATCAGAAAATGAGGGTCCAAAGCTTCTAGAAGTGGTATTCTAGCCGAATTTTCATTCAGCGGGGTAATTAGTGTCAGAAATGCATATCTAGGGGTTAAAATGTGTAATTCACTCTAAAATGAATGCAATCAATTTTTAGAATTTCGGCCACTGTTGTAAACATGATGTGCAAATGCTGACTTGTCATAAAGCATCGTCATCTTACTATGACTAGTAGAACGTCCGAGCGTTGCTACGGGATACAACGCATATAAATGAACAAACAAATGATT